GTATAAAACTCTTCATAAGTGTTTTTAATAGCAAAAGATTAGAGACAGCTTTTTATCAAGAAAATACTGGTAAATATAAATACTATATATACTTGTGGGCTTCCCTGTGACTCAGACGGTAAAGAATCCGCCTGCGATACGGGAGACCTGGGTTTGACCCCTGGGTTGGGAAGATTCCTTGGAGGAGAGCATGGCAATCCACTCCAGTATTCGTGCCTGGAGAATCTGGCGGGCTACATTCCATGGGGTCACAAAGAGTCAGACGTGACTGAGCAAATAAGCACAGCATATATATACTTGCGATGGCTGAATTGTGTACTCCAAAATTCGCATGTTGAGGCTCTAATACCCACATGACATTATTTGGCCACATATGCTCTCTCACACTCTTTAGATCTCATCTACTCCTGTTTGCCTCACTCTGCTTCAGCAACACTAGCCTTCTTGTGGCTTTAGGTCAAGCATATATCTCTGTCTCTCTCTCTACACACACATATACACCAAGAAAAGACCACTTGAGGACACAGGAATAAGGCAGCTGTTTTCAAGCCAGGAAATCCTCACCAGAATCCACCCATACTGGCACTCTGATCGCAGACTTCCAGCCTCCAGAACAATGAAAAAATTAATTCTGTTGTTTTAAGCCACCCAGTCTATGGTATTCTGTTATGGCAGCTTAACTGACTAAGACATTATTATTGCATATAATGGATACTATTTCATAACAGAATGCTATGTAGTCCTTAAAATGAACGAAGCAGCTTTCTGTGAACCATATGAAATAATCCTGAAGATACAGTGAGTGAAAGAAGCAAGTTGCAGAACAATATATATGATGCTACTATTTAAAAGAATAGTTATACATTTGCTTGTAGATGCACAGATTATCTCTGGAAGGATACCCAAGAAAGTTGTGACCTCTGAGACAGGGAAAGGTCATAAATGTTAAATATTTCACTGCATATGCTAAACATTTTAAATTACCACATTACCTACTCCAAGAAGATTTTTAAGTTTAAAAAAAATTTTTTAAGGAAGTGATTCATAAAATAACTTTAGTTGTAAGACACTTTTTAATGGTCCTCAATTGATTTTGTTCAGAAGGTTGTAGTTACCTACAGGAAAGACTCTCATTAATAGTTTAGATTAGGTTAGCCACCTGGTCTTTGGACTACTGCCCAAAACACCCAAATCCAGCATACCTTTCCAGTCTCAAATTCCTTTCCACCTGCTCAGTTAAATCATCCCTGATCACCTCAAGTCATGACAATCTCTCTGACCTAGAAAATCACATTTCTCTTGAAACCACTCATCTGGACACATATTGCCTCACAATGGCTAAGAGCACTGGCCTTTGCAGCAGTTAGAACTGAGCCTGAACCCCTGCTCACTTAGGCAAATTTCTAAATCCAAGCCTCAATTTTTTCATCTATAAAACAGAGATAATGACAGTACCTACTTTTAAGTACCAGCCACTGATAAGGCATGTAACGTTCCAGCTGAGTGCCTGACACATAGGAAACAGTAAGTTACATATTGCTCTTACACATAGGAAACAGTAAGTTACATATTGCTCTTACCTGTACAACTTTTTTCTTTTCTCCACAAGACTGTAACCAACTTGAGAGCAAGAATTCTGCCCTAAGTATCTGTTTTGAGCCTGTTTTTCATTTGTAAATGGTTATCATTATATTACTACTACATAGAATTGTACCAAACAAAATAACTCATCAGAAATACTCAGCACAATGTTGGCTTAAATGCTCAATAAACAGTAAATATTATTATCTCATACTTTTGTTTCTTTGTAATGACTAACAGAATCTTGCATATGTGCCAAACCTGTGTGTGATTTCTAATTCTCCTAGTTGGTTGAACCTGGCTTAATTAACCTCACCTCAGTCTCCTTACTCCCGTAAAGATGATGATACAAAGAATACATATTAATACTTAATACAGTGTGTGGCATCCAGTGGATGCTCACTATTTTTTTTTCTGTTTTTCCTTTCTTCTATTTTTTTTTTTTTCCTCCCCTGACCAGTTCTGGGCACAGGACCCTTCCGGCGAGAACTTCCCTTTGCATACGCACCCACCCCTCTGCGTACTTGAGCCTCTGCTACCTTCTCGCAGGGATTCTACGTTAAGGAGCCGGTCTGCTCCATTACGCTCCTCAAAGCAAATTTTCTCTCCAACCTCTCCCTCACCTCGAAACCTCGCTGTCCCAGCCTCTTCACATGCCGCCCCACCCAACCTGCCTGTCAGCCTTCCTACCCCATTTTCTTCTCTCCACCCTTCCCAAATCCCATTTTTCAGCCTTTTTCAGACTCCGGCCCCTCTCTCCCCTCAACTGCTAAATATGTTCGTTCTCGCCCCCGACTCTACCTCCATCATCCCCAGGTTCACCCAAACGCCTCTCTTCACACGCCTTTGGGCCCCTAGGCCCTCCCGAACCACCCTCTCTCCCCCGCAACGACCCACCTGCGCTTTCCGCCTCTTCAGCGCCGCGGCGTCCAACCACACGCCGCAGGCCTCCTCCTCCTTCTCCGGGCCTCTGCGCCTCATGGCCGCTGAGAAGACCAAGCCAACAGGATACCCGCTGGAAGTTCAAGCCACTTCACGCAACCACCATCAGAGACTCGGCAGACGTTCGAATCTCCCGCCAACGCTGGGGGCGGAGCTACGCCGCGACCTCCCCGGCGCAGGCACCGCCCTCAGCGTCAGCTCCGCCCCGGCCCAAGCCCCGCCCCCTTTCCCCAGCTCTTCGGGTCTTATACCTCAACCGGTACAACGGTGAGGCGTGGAGCGGATTACCAAGGCCAGGTTTTTCTGGCTTTCTTTCTTTCTTTCTTTTTTTTTTTTTTGCTTTCTTATCCAAAAGTTGTATTCCGGAACTGTGCTGTGTGAACGCGTTCGCGACGCTGCACAGGGAATATGCATTTTCTTTTTATCGAGTTAGTTGCACTCTCTTACTCATACCCATCAGAGCTTTTCCTTGTCTTATCGCTGAGTTCTTATGCATACTTAGTCGCTTCAGTCGTATCCGACTCTTTGCGACCCTATGGACCGTAACCAGCCAGGCTCCTCTGTCCATGGGATTCTCCAGACAAGAATACTGGAGTGGGTTGCCATTTCCTCCTCTAGGGGATCTTCCTGACCCAGAGATCAAACCCGTGTCTCTTATGGCCTACCTGCATTAGCAGGAGGGTTCTTTGACACTAGTGCCACCTGGGAAGCCAAGGAACATCTAGGAAGCCTAGGAACATCTCAAAAAGAGGAGAGGAGGTTCTGGTCTGCCAGCTCCATAGCTGGGGTCCTCAGCACTACCTTAAACGGATTACATTTGTAATTCAAAACAAAAAACTCAGCATAACTAGACCACCTCATGGGAAAGGATTTAGAAAACGTTAAGTAGAATGAAAACTAAAATTTTGGAGTCAAGAACTAGCTTTCAGTACTTACTGTGTGGCCTTGAATTTTAAAGAGGATCAAGCAAGGTTTGTGAAAGTACTTTGTAAATTCTGAAAGCCCCTCAGTTGGTGCAGTTGGTAAAGAATCTGCCTGCCAACGCAGGAGACACAAGAGATTGGGGTTCAATCCCTGGGTCAGGAAGATCCCCTGGAGAAGGAAATGGCAACCCAGTCCAGTATTCTTGCCTGGAAATCCAATGGACAGAGGATCCTGGTGGGGTACAGTCCAAGGGGTCACGACTGAGTCGGACACGACTGAGCAGCACTCACACACACACACACGCCAAGCATTGTTCTAAGTCCTCAGAAATACAAAAATGCTAGCACACATAACCACAATCTCCACAGATAAAATATATGCACAACAGGATATTTTAGCAGTGGAGTGATATTCCTTATTCATTCAAGGTTTTTTGCTTTTCTTACCTGTACTTCCTAACTTTCCTTCACTGTATTGCCATTTATTGCTTATGTACTGGGGAAAAGGCAATACTGTAAATGTTGACACATAACGATATCGTTAAATTTAACATAAAGATCCTCCTTGATTAAAAGACCAAGAAATGAAATATTTGTCAAATTATATAAACATACTCTTTTAATGTCTAATATTTGTTTAGTAATAAAACTGCCCCACCTTTTCTATCAAAAAAAAAGTTCCCATATACAGTAAATAAGGCCCCAACCCCACCCCCAGGCAAAGATAAAACAGGATCTCCTCCCTTCGCCCACCCCCAAGCTCCCCCTGAAAACCTCCTCCAACACAATGAGCAGGCCCAAGGGGTACACCAGGGCCCTCTCTCCAGAATAGGAGACAAGAAACAAGGAGGAAGCTGTTAGCAGTCATTTTATTGCATCCAGGACATCAAAGTCCAGACCACCCCTGATATCAACCCCAGTGAACTCCTCCTTCCATCCCTCTTGGCCTTTGAACAGGTTTTTCCCTCTACCTGGAATGCACTTCCGTGTCTCCATCTGCAAACTCCTATTCAACCCTTCTCAACCCAAGACCCTGAGGGTCCCAGGCAGCACTAATTATTCCTTCCTCAGTGTTTCCCCGACAGTTCATTCGATAGTAAAGCCTTTACCATCCTGCATTAATCCACAGGGCCCCATCAATGGCCTGTCTCTGAGTAGAGGCCCAAGAAACGCTGAACGGATAAACACTGAGTCATAAACACTGAGTCATGAACGAGGGACCCAGGAAAGATGATGGGAACAGGATGAGTGGGACAGAGAGTCCAGTGCTAGGAGGGTGGAGCTCCCTGGGACAGTGACTGAAGAGCCGTGGGGCACTGGATGGGATCCATTTCTACCGGGCACAATCTTCTACCTTTGGGGGTTCTCCGGGGCACCAAAGCTCCAAGCTGGAGTTCAAGGAACCTTAAAGTCCTGCACACAAGAGAGGGCTGTCCTTTCCCAAGGGGATCTGGGCAGAGGGCGCTGCTGACGCTTCCCCTGTCCCTCAGCTCAGATCTCACTCTAACCTAAATCCCAGCTTCACCCTCTCCCAGATAATCTGGAAGCTCCAATTCAGGGTCTTAGCCCGAGCTGATCCCCCATCCTCACCCCTAAATGAGAGAGGCAGTGAGGGGAGGCAAAACCAGGGTGACCAACATCTTTCTCTTTCCCTCTCCCAGGGCAGGCAGCTAGGGCAGACCCAAGAGTAGACCCCAGCAGCTCCAGCCAATCCTCAAATCCAAGGACTGGCCAGTGCTGCCCTTGGCAGCTGAGGCGTGCACAGAGAATCACCACGGGCCAGACACAAACAACTTTACCAGGACTTGTTCCCATCCAGAGCCAAGGTTCCCATCTATTCCCATCTGTTCCCATCTGGACCCTTGGGCCCCCACTCTACCTCCCTCCCTACCAGGTGCCACCCCCTTCAGTGAGTCTTCCGATCAAGATCAAGTTTGCGCCGTACCAGCTGGCTCAGGAGGAATGCGGTGAGGATGCTGCTGCCTACAGTGAGCAAGAAGAGGCCGGAGAAGTTGTGGGGCCAGCGGGTGTGCAGAGGCTCATAGATGGACCGCCGGGCCTCATAGTCCAGCGCCACGGCCTCCAGCTGGGCCAGCGTGCACAGTACCAAAAAGACATGGAAGAGCTGGTGGCCCTGCCCGAAGACATGGCAGCTGCCAGGGAACCAGCGCTCAGGCACGAAGGCAGAGAAGAAAGCCGCGGCCAACAGAAAGAAGACCACCTGGCATTTGTGGTAGAGAAGAGCCGGGTCGTCTGTGGCAGGGTCGGGGGACACAAGGATGCGGTGCGCCACGGGGCTGATGTCCAGGGCGTAGGCCAGTGCCGAGGGTACCTCCTGGCAAGTGCGGCCCAGCAGCCCAGGCTTCTGGATGTACTTGTTGTAGCAGGAGCCAGTGCAGGAAAGCCAGGCAAGAAAGGCAGCCGTAGGCAGGAAGATGGTCTGCACTTGGGCGTGCCAAGCGGGCTCAATGGCATAGTAGAAGTGCGCCAGGGCGCTGCCAAACTGGTACACGGCCACACCCACGTAGTCCAGGAAGAAGAAGCTGTAATGCCAGAACTCGGACTTGGCCTGCAGGAGGTGAGCCAAGGCGCTGAGGGAGAGGTAGGTGAAGGAGGCGAGGACGATGATGAAGAGGGGCTGGGCATGCGGGTCTCCCCAGAAGTCCACAGTGCCCACAAAAATGGCAAGCCGCAGCAGCAGCACCAGGGCGGCCAGCAGGTGGGTCCAGACGTTCACTGCCTCGTTGTGCTGCTGGAACAGCGTGCGGAAGTAGAAGCGCCAGGTTCGATGCAGCGGCCGGTAGCCCACGTAGATGTACGGCTTCCAGAAGAGGGGCGGCACCTCGGCTCGATCCACGGTGAACACAGGCTCTGGTGGCACAGAGGGCTGAGGCTCCTGGTGGACCTGCCGCAGGCTGGACAGGAGGTGGCTGAGCTTCTGGGCCACCATCGTGGCCATGGCTGTGGGCTGGGCAGAGAGCTGGAAGAGAGAGGCCCGAGCAAAGTTAGGGAGCTGGGGTCCTCACCCTCCTGCCCCGTGAGCAGCAACTGGGGGGGTTTGCTGCCCAGTTCTTCCTCCCTCTTCCCTACCCCCTTATCCCTACACTGAGTTAAAAAAGAGCAGAGTCATCCTCAGGGAGAGCTCAGCTCTGATTCAACGATTCTTCTGCTCCCTTATCTATCCCAAGGGCCTAGAATAGTGCCTGGCATATAGAAGGTGCTCAATAAATGTTTGAGGCAGGTGTTACTTAAAGAGGCTCACTATGTCAGCCAACTTGTTTCCAGTCCAGGCTCCATACAGCAGCCCCCGTTGTTTTCCTCCCATGTTCATGCTGCCGTCAGTGTTCACATGGTGGTGACAATGTCCTTGCTAATAACAGATTTGCTACCTCTACCTTTAGCTTCTTCCAAATGGCCTGGGTCTCCCACTAACCCTCCATTACCCTACATGATCTGGTCCCTACTACCTTTTCCAGCTTTATTACTCAACCACAGTACACATCACACCCAGCCATAGCCTCATCAAACCCCTGGACCTGTTGTTTCACATGTCTGTAGCTCTGGGTAAGCTGTTCTCTCCATCTGAGACATCTACCTCATCTTGCCTGTCTGGCAAACTCCTGCTACTGCTACTGCTAAGTCACTTCAGTCGTCTCCGACTCTGTGCGACCCCATCCCTGGGATCTCCAGGCAAAAACACTGGAGTGAGTTGCCATTTCCTTCTCCAATGCATAAAAGTGAAAGTGAAGTCACTCAGTCATGTCTGACTCTTCGCGACCCCATGGACTGCAGCCTACCAGGCTCCTCCGTCCATGGTATTTTCCAGGCAAGAGTACTGGAGTGGGGTGCCATTGGCTTCTCCGTGCAAACTCCTAGTCATCCCTCAAAACCCATTTCTTCTGTGATATTTTCCTGGGTTTCCCTGGCCCCCCAGTCCTCTAATGCTGACCCTTCTACTCAAATGCCTACTGTCCTTTGACCATTATAACACTTGTCATAGGCATTAAATTGTTAATGCAAGCTCCTCCAGGGTAGGCTTATTTGTCTTATTATTTTGTGAACCCCTGGTGCTTCGCAGGTAGCTGGTGCTCATTTTCATTCATTTAATGCTTGTGGAATGAAAAAACAGCATAATAGCATCCTGATAATACTTCATAGCCTTCAAGGCCCAACACAAAAAGCCACTTTTCCCCCCACAAGTCCCTAGTAACACCTGATCCTATAAAAACAGCCCTAGCCACACCCTTGCTGAAAAGTTCCTGCCTCCAGACCTTCCATGTTGCTAACTGCAAATAAATCCAATCTAACCCCTCACCCTGCATTCAAGACCCCATGACCTGCTCCCACCCTCATTTCCCACCTAACCCAAATGTGAGACCCTGTGCCAACTTCCTTTCCCTCTAATGAAATCCTTTAAGACCAGTACAAGCCACCACCTCCTTAATGCCCCCTCACTTTCCCCTGTGGAAGAGCTATAATGGATTATACAAGTTATCATTTAAAACATATTTATTCATTTAGCAAACACTTACTGAGCTCCTTCTCTGCCTCATGTCCTGTGCTGGGTCCCAGAGTGTGGGGTGGGAGGAGAGTAGAAAAGAATTTGATCCTTGCCTTCAGGAACTTCATAATATGGTAGAGGTTATAGAGAGGAAACCAAAGCATAGCAAATGCTTACACAGCATGTGCTATGTGCCAGACAGTGTCTTAAGCAATTTATGCATATTTGATTCATTTAATCAACACAACACCCTATGAGATAGGTACTATCATACGCCCATTTTTCAGACAAGGAAACTGAAACACAGAGAAGTTGAGTACCCTGCCTAAGAAGCAGTAGAGGCATGATATAAATTCAGTTTGCAGTCTTTTTATTATGATTACTACTATTTTTTGACAGCTCTGCACAGCATGTAGGATTTTAGTTCCCTAACCAGGGATCAAACCTGCAGCCCCTTCATTGGAAACGTGGAGTCTTAACCACTGGACTACCAGGTAAGTCTCTCAGTTTGTAATTTTAACCACTTCCCAAAATTGTCCTCTGCAAGACAAGGTGGCAAGTACTATTAATAATTTAATAATTATATACTGTTTTTGCCTGATACTAGTTGCTTAATTCAGGCTTATCATTACTCACTGTGCCATTCATTAAATCAAATAGGTATTGATAAACTATCCAGACAACTAGCTAGACAGACAACTCTCCTCCCTCAAATTCTCCCCAAGAAGCTTAATGGACGCAGCAACCAAACTTACTCTGTTCATCATTCATCAGATATTTACTGCAACTTCCTTTGCACCAGTCATTCTAAAATGCAAGAAATCTGGGCAAGATAAAGCACTCAAGTTCTCCGCCATCAGCAGCACCATGGTCACCCCCAAAGCCCCAGTAATTCGCACATAGTCCAAGCAAACACAGGGTGCTTGTTGTGCAAAGGCAACATCAAGCCACCCCCAGCCCACACTCCACCTCACCCACCCCACCTGATTTGCATCCCTTAGCTCCTCCTGCATTACATTATGGAGTCAGCTCTGGCCTCTGACCTTTCCCAGCCTGGTAGGGAAGTAGGAGTTAAATAAGGCATTACACCACTGCACGGGAGGTGCTACAACGGGGGAGTACAAGAGTCTCTACTTTCTATTCCAAGATGGCCTGGCAGGTTTAGGAATCAGATCTTGCTGGTGAACCAATTCATCAGCAAGACCTTGCTAATGACAGTAGTGGGGCCACGTCTATGCAGAGCACAAGAACCCCCCGAGTCACTTGCTGGTTGAACCACTTGCCAGAACTAGATTTCTTCTCCCCAAGAGACAGGTCTTTAGCCTCGTCTGGCCTCCACCCTTGTCTACAGCTTTGTCTTCCCAACTCAAACCTCAGGGAACCAGAAAAGGCCTCTGAAAGCATCTCATGCAGTTCCTTTGTTTTACCTTGAGAAAACAGGAGCCCAAAGACAGGAAGACCTTCCCGAGAGTTGCCCAATTCAGCTAGCTTTCCATTCCACCATGAGGACAAAGGCCTGGGAATGATGACATGCAATAGTGCCTTAGTTCCTGGCTCCCTAGAATCTGTTACATCCAGTTCAGTGCTCCATACCCCACTCTTAGAACTTCCCAAGTCCTAAGAGCATATTAAAAGATCAAGAAGGCCTGCACCAAAGAAGCCTGCTTCACTTTGTTGAACCTACTGGGTTGGCCAAAAACTTCGTTCAGGTTTTTCCATAAGATGTTAATGGGAAAACCCAAACAATTTTTGACCAACTCAATACACTTACCAAGCTTACATGACCAAGGATTTCTTTTCCCAGTAATGATTATAAAGCTAGCTGCAATGTAGTAAGAGTTCACTATATGCTCACTCATAGCCTGATGGCTCAGCTGGTAAAGAATCTGCCTGTAATGCGGGAAACCTGGGTTCGATCCCTGGGTTGGAAAGATCCCCTGGAGAAGGGAACAGCTACCCACTCCAGTAACCTGGCCTGGAGAATTCCCTATACAGTCCATGGGGTCAGAAAGAGTCAGACACCACTGAGCGACTTTCACTTTCTCACTCATAGCCTTGTTGCAGCTCCCATAACTAGCCTGTGAGGTAGGTAGAGAAAGGTGAAGCCAGGATCTGGACCCAGCTCTGTGACTGCAGAGTCCAGATACTCTCAGCCACTCCTGCTGCCCTGCTTCCTGTCACAGATGACCACATCCTACAGAACCACTTTGGAAAACGCTGTTCTAAAGCAGGTGACCAGGTCCTTTCCTGCAAATTGCTTCCTTAGGCTTCTAGCAACTGACTTGCATCCAAGGACCTCAGTCTCACCCAGTTACCAGCTCCCTGCTGTCTGTACCAGTGAAGCCTGGCTCACAGCCGCCTCCTCAGGTGGGTGATAGCTCACTCCCTGTACCCCCCTCCCCCATACACAGTGGACCTGGAGCACAGAACCCAGACACCAGATACTGGGATGACAGAGGTCTAGTCGCCCAGTTTCCTTTAGACATCAGCCAGCAGCCCAGTTCCATGTGAATAGCTCTATTTTCAGAATTGGTTCCCATCTCCTGACTCCATGAAAGGGGCCCTGGATCCAGGGGAAAGAAGCAGGGGCAGGAGTCTACCATGACCAGAAGGATGAGGATGGTCATCCAGAGGGCAGGTTCAGGGCATCCTCTGCATAGTTTGCCCACCCCAGTCTTGTTCCAGGCATCCCACCCGAGTCCAGTACACCCTCATGGCCCTCCGCCATGCTCAGTCACTTCAGTCATGTCCAGCTCTTTACAACCCCATGGATTATAGCCTGCCAGGGTCCTCTGACCATGGGATTCTCCAGGCAAGAATACTGGAGTGGATTGCCATGTCCTTCTCCAGGGGACCTTCCTGACCCAGGGATCAAACATTGGAAAGCAGGTTCTTTACCACTAACACCACCTGGGAAGCCCCATGACCCCCCTCCAAGTCTCCCTAATTGCACCAGTTACCTAAGGGTTTCTCTTGAAAAAACTGGGGCTGATGACTTCTGCTATAGAACAGAAAAAATTCACCAGATGCCAGGCACTGGATGGCACTTCCACAGGTGAGGGTCACTAGGCGTGGGGCTTCCAGGGACTGTAGGTGTCTTGTGTGATGTCACCAGAGGGTGGGGCTAAAGACCACCTCCACCCTCCACCCTCCTCTCTATTACCACTACCACCTTGGTCAAATCCAGGCTAAACTCTGCCCCTACTAGCCAGGCCTCAGCTATAGAAGGAAGCTCATGGTTAACCTCTGCATGAAATATCTGGGGAGACTGAGAGCTAGCTGAAATGTTGTGACTTACCCAAGATCACACGGCAAGGCAGGCAAAGCTGGGCTGAGACCAGGTGTCCAGGGCCTGGTTGATGGATATCAGGCAAACTTGCCTGGCTTCTGTCCCCTACTCAGTGGGAATCAGAATGGAAGGAAGTTAGGAATCAAGGAGAAAACAGACACTATAAAGG